TGGTTCAGAAGTTTAACATTAGTTGTATGCCAGGTACTAATTTAAGAAGCTACTGTTAATATTATGTTATTTATACTAGACTAACTAGTAACAGCTAGTTTATGGTATGTCATTCTGTACTAGGCTAACTGTAACAGCTAGTACTTTGGTATGTCATTCTGTACTAGGCTAACTGTAACAGCTAGTACTTTGGTATATCATTCTGTACTAGGCTAACTGTAACAGCTAGTATTTTGCTATGTCATTCTGTACTAGGCCAACTGTAACAGACAGTATTTTGCTATATCATTCTGTACTAGACCAACTATAACAGCTAGTATTTTGGTATGTCATTCTATGTGATGCCCAAGTTAACCTAAATACAAGTATAACTAAATAACATACAGCATGTGCTCCACAGTCTGTCTGTATATATCACATGATGAGGCTACAAGATAGTTGGACACAAAACTTCTCATCACGTATGACGGTAAGTCAGGATGTTTCTCAAGAACCTAGGAGGAAATGAATTCTATTTTAAGAATAAAGTGTAAATAAATAAAATTGGTTCCAGAATGTGACCTCAAAAATCAAACTAATGACTTACTTCAACAAACTACGAATGAAGTTTCATGTTCTATTTACTTGTTAATTTATTGATATTAACAATTTCCTACACTGAAAATGTATTTCTGATAGATTCTTACCTCATAAAATTTTGTTTGCCACTAGCCTTGATACTCCTTTATATAAGGCAGCCGTGTGATAGCATGCAAATGAGCATGTGACTACCCTTCACCAGTATGAGTGCGACACAACTTCTAGCACAGCTGACTCCCTATATGTACCTTAGCCTCACTTCACTTCGCGATTAAGCAACATAAAAATAATAAGACACCGGAAGTGTGGAGGGAGGGTAGGAGGAGGTAAGAATCCATCGGAAATACATTTTAAGTGTAGAAAAATGTTAACTTCCAATATGATATATTACCTCTTCTCTCATAGCAACTAGAATCTCATATTGACCTGATGGTGGGACTGGTGTAGCATTGCGTAGATAAGCCCCTTCTAAAAGCTCCCAAAGGAAGACCTTAGGGTGTGTGAATATAGAGTATTTAAGACACACCCATGAGAAACTGCACCACTTCTGAGCCAGGTATATTCTTCGCCTGTGAAGTTGATGTATCACAAGAAAGACAGAATCACAGGAGGAGCCCTGTATATTAAATGAAGGGACCCCTGGTGTAGAGTGGTTAGAATGTAATGGACCTTGAAGGGGAGTTCAACCTCAACCAACAGTACCTCAATAGGAATATTCAGCCCATGGTAGGAAGCGGGTTCTCTACCTTTCACCTTGGGCACAGGAACTGGAAGGGAAGATTTTCTATTCCAAGGACCCACAACATCATGTGTGAATGTCCAACACAATCAACACAACTATCCACACAGGCAAAAACATCTGGACAACAGTAGGAAGATAGACAGCAATGTGGCAGTTCAACTCCAGTCCAGAACCAGGTGACATTGGGAATGAATTGTCCAGTCTGCAGTAGGAGGAGGGTACATGGGCCACTCACATGTGAGGCCTTATGTGGCTGGTCTAGCTCCAAGAAAAAAAAACAGTACCCCCTGGGAACTGATCCATGGAACAGCAAGAAGGAGGGTGCCCAGCCGGAGAAGTGAACTACATTGTGGCAAAAGTTCTATAGCCTATAACCAGGTGGAGTCCATAAAAGGGCATTATGTCTGCAATAGAAGTGTATATAAACCATCTACACCAGCAGAACACTACTGTCCTATTCTCAACTGAGCAAAATTGAGCACCCTCAAGAGAAAGCCTCCATGGTCCACCACCCCAATGGCTAGAAGCTGGTAATGGTTAAGGACTCCTGTACTTCACTGTAAATATGGGAATGGGAAATGCATTGGAGGGTACAGAGGAATGTAATGCCAGAGACAGCGCAATGGGTGACCTGAAAACCTTATACTGAAAAACAGACAGTTCCTGATACAGTCAAACCAAGGAGCAGCAGAGAGGGGCAATAATACCTTTCTGCTTTTCTCATGTTAGTCAATGAGTGTATAGTCTAGGGTGAACATATTTATGATGCAAAACACCATGCCGTAAGCCTACAAGTAGTCTTACGGAATACCCCATCTCAATGGTGGGCATTATTGATCTGAATGGCTGTACAGTGCAGGTTTAAGAATAAAAATATTTGGTCAGACAACACTTGCACTGAGTGGGATTCATATATGTGAGAAAGGTCCCTGTAAAAAATAAAATATTTAAAAAGAGCATCTTCCCACTCACAGAGAAACCATGAAACTCAAGATGGAGAAGGGAGGTATATGGTAACCTGTATAGCAGGAAACAGCCAGACGATGCAGATAATGTGAGAAAGACATGTGAGGAATGGTCCACAGGCCAGCACAAGCTATGTCCTCTAAAATATGAGGGAATCAGGCAGCCAAAGACATGGTGATGGATTTGACGGGAGGAGATTTGGAAGAGGCAATAATCAGGATAAAGGTAAGAATAAACCAGACAAATCAACTGGAAAATCCAACCCATAATAGAAAAAAGATCAGAGGAAATGAAAGGTTTCCAATGAGTAAACAAACAGGAATGGGAGCCATGTAACAGGGGAGAGCCAGTCAGAGCAGGCAAAGAAGTGGAAACCACTGCTGTTCTGGCCAAAGTGGAGGCACCAAAAAGACCCAACACAGAGTGGCTTGTATGAAGGCAAGGGCATAGGAAAAAAGAAAGATGGGAGGATATGCATAAAGGTAATGGCCCCAAATTCTGACTGAAGTCACTGACAGCTACAGCCAAAGGATGAGGGATAGGATGCCAAAATTGAGAAGCTTGGAATTCAGGTGGGTGGTGAATGCATCCAGTTCTGGAGTACCCCACTTTGAACACAGTCAACTGAACACCTGTGGGTTGAGGGACCACTCTTTGGTGAGAATTTTGTTGGGGTACAATAAATTATCCATGACCAAATTCAAGACACCTGGTATATGACATGTTATCAAATGAATGTGATGGCTGTGGGCCCAAAACAGGAGGTCCAATGTGAGACCTTGACTGAATGCCCCTTGCCGAGACAATCATGGAGTTGACAGAATAGATCATAACTGACTGATTATGGAGAGATGGAAGGAAATGAACCAAAGCCTGATGAACAATAAGCTGTTCTAAAAGATTGATATACAGAGACAGCTCTGCTACAGACCAACATCCCAATATCTCCTGCTTGTCCAGATATGCACCCCAACCTCAAAGAAAAGCATCTGTGATGAGGTGCACTTCCAGACGAGGAACAACCACTGTGATGTAGTCTCAGTCCAACCATCAAACAAAGTCCAATTGCAGGGATGTAGGGAGATGGATAGGAATGTCCAAGGAAGGCAACAAACAGGAATGGGAACCTTGTAATAGTGGAGAGCCAGTCGGAGCAGGCACAGAAGTGGAAACCACTGCTGTTCTGGCCAAAGTGGAGGCACCAAAAAGACCCAACACAGAGTGGCTTGTATGAAGGCAAGGACATAGGAAAAAAGAAAGATGGGAGGATATGCATAAAGGTAATGGCCCCCAAATAGGATAGGGATGTCCAAGGGATCCCGAAAGAGGTTCCACTGATCTTGTAAAGCCCATTGAAGAGGTTACATGTGGACTGGACCGAGAGGAATGATGGCCTCCAAAGAAGCCCACATCTTCAAAAGAGATAGAAATTCCCATGCAGTTGGAGAAGGACATGAGAAAATTGTCTGAACCAGAAGCTCTATAGATTGTAGGTGAAGGGGAGAAGATTGGGTACAGCTGAGAAAAGGAATTGAAAAATACCCGAAATCAACAAGGGAGAGAGGAAGGACTTCTCCACCTTGACCAGACAACCTACTTATGCAGCTTCTTTAAGAAGCTGAGTGTGAAGGGAAGAGGTGGTATTTGAAGAAGCTAGAAGCAGCCAGTTGTCCATGTAATGATGGGAATAAAGGCTCCTGGAATGGAGAAGATGGGCAAAGACCTTGACCATCTGACAAAGAACGTAGGAAGCCAAAGCCAGCCCAAAAAGAAGAGCCAGAACTGGTGGATACAATCTTGTTGGATAAAACAAAGAAAATGCCAGGATGCAGGAGAGATGTGAATATGTAGATAAGCATTCGAGACATATACCTTCATCATCCAGAAAAGGATTGAAAACCCATAAAAGAGATAGGTATGGCACGACACTGAATCAAGAAAGGTCTAGAAAAAAGTTCAAGGAAGAAAAATTGATAATGGGATGCCAGTCCCTGGTCTTCTTGGGGACAGTGAACAAGCAGGAATAGAAACCTGGCTGAGAAGGAACCAGCCATTCCACAGTGGCCTTGCAAAGATCTAGAATAACCTCAGACAGATACTAGCTGGAAATGGGATACAAAAGAGAGGGGAAGAAGATGGGATGAGGAGAAGAAAAACAAAGAATGAGCCCTTCAGAGAGGGCCCATAAAACCCAAGGTTCTGTGGTGAAAAACTCCCATATGGTGGCAAAATGCAAAAGTCTGGTCTACACCCACCAGATTTGTACCTACCACATACTCACTGGTACTGCCAGGGGTGCTGAAGTCATCGATAAAAAAACTAATGATTAGTCTCAGAGATCCACGTAACAGGAACCAGTAAAGGAGAAGAAGGAGGGGGATGAGACACAGTAACAGGTTCAGGAGGAGATTGAGATAAATGGGAAGTCAATGAGGGAAGGAAGGATTTGAAACAGGCAAACTTCACTCTGGCCTCTAAGGAATCAGGAATGTCCCAAAGACATCTTGCCTAAAAAAGTACCCATACACAAATCTCATAAGAAGGTTGGAGTAAACATACACGGGACAAAAGGACATCCCAACAACAGAGGAGTCATGTAAGGAGGGAAAGGGCAGAAGAATATAATTGTGCCAGAGAGGAAAAATCAGGGCATGAGTATCCACCCAAAACCCCCAGGGAAACAATAAAGAGCCACAGACAAAAGGTGAAGAGATGAAAGGGACTGAAGGAGGGAGAATAAGTTAAGACAGATATAGGAGAATTGAGGTTGGGAAAATGTAACTGAAGTATTGGGATCCAAAACCCACAGAGGCAGAAGAGGATTCAACTGCTGCTAGTCCAAAAAAGGAAACTATGACTAATGGTAAGCCAAAGCATGGGCTTCCATATTATACAGGGGTTGAGGTAACTGACCCCAGAATATAACTGGTAAACCTATTTGCATGAACCCCAATATCTAATGAGGAAAGAGAACAAGATACTGGCCCGAAGGTGTCTCACTTAAAAGGAGAGGGAAGGATTCAATGAAAATGGGAGACAAGAACAAAACATAACAAACCAGACTGGTCAACTTCAGGAAAGGAGAAGGAGGCCTTGATGCATCCACTAGACATAAACATGACTGTGTGACATAAGATGGGAAGGAAACAGGCTGTCAAAATTGTCTTACTCTTGTTCGGGTACTCCAAAACAAGGCATGACAGGATAATCTTCAGGCGAATGAGAAGCCTGCATGAAGGAAGCCAACTCTTGATGAACTAAAGCCATAACATCTTCTGCTGATAACTGCGGACCCAAAGCCATTGTAGACAAAGTCAAGTTAATTGCAACTGGAACAGCAGAAGTCGAAAAGCACATCTAAACACTAAAAGTGCCAATCAAGAAATGAAGTTGAGCTAAGCTTCATAGAGGGAATCAACTGTGCTAGGAGTGTTGTCACATGCTCATTTGCTTACTATCACGCAGCTGCCTCACATGAAAACACAAGGTTAAGTCGGAGTATCAAGGCTAATAGCGAGTAAAAATTTGCATATATAGAGGGCAGTACAAGTCAAGAAAAGCTGTTATGTGATAAGAGGTAAGATATTGAGTAGAATTTAGCTTTTACCAGGGTTTTATGTAAATACATTTAGCTGAAATTATTATGTTAAGTATTTTTAGATACCCAAAATATACACATTTGAATTACATAAATCTAACCATGTGTACAAGTTTCATTTATTAGCCATACACAATGACACAAAAACTTGGATTAAAATGTTTTCTTTCATTTTTCTAAATATAATCTAGAAATATAAAAGAAATGAGAAGACAAAATTAACAACTGACATATTTTCAAGAAGTTTGATGAATCAACAGATCTGTTTTACAGTTTTATTTATTTACTTTAATTTGCCTTTTGACTAAATTCTCATCAGGTTCATCTTTGTTTCACTTATTTTTACATTTTACTGCACTTAAGACTATCCATTACAATAATATTCCAAAAGTCAATGAGTACTTCAATGTTTGACTCTTACAAAACCATACACTGTAATGTAATTGTTTTTTCAACTCTTCAAATATAATAAAAGATAGAGCATCAGATAACAGCTGGAGTAACTGATATCAAGATGAAAACAAATTCATAGCATTTAGATCAAAGTTTGACCAATAATGTGCAGTCCCTACTGCTAATACACAATCATTAAAGAACACACAAAAGTTTAAAATATTCTAAGTTTTATGTATCATGCACATGTCATATCAAAAGTCTGTTTCTTTTTCATATATTTTCTTTGGACAATGTAAATAAATTACAATATCAACTAACCTTTGTCAATCCCAAATATTGAATTAAACATGAAAGTACTGAATATTTTCCTCTTCTATCCCATGACATACTATCCACACTTTGAAAAATATACATGAGGAAGTCACTGCTTTCATTATCACATAATTTATTTTCAATTTCATGGGCTTCAAGCACATTTTTAAATATGTTCTTCACAATTTCTGGAACCCCACGTACTGGATTTTCCCAGTTTGAAAAGATTGTCTGTAACACATCTTTGAAAAGAGCTGACTTTTGAGAAACTATTCTTGTTTCTACAAGATCTACACTTGCATACAACTCAGGTAATAAGCTCTTCAGGGTTTTTATCCAGTTTAAGAAAAGATGAAAAGCATGGAATTGAAATGTAGATGACATCTGGCACAACTTGTGAATAAGAAAATGAATGTCAAATAGCAAAGCACTGTTACTGTTTAATTTACATAACAAGTGATCTTTCTGTCTGGTAGTAAGCAAACCATGAAGCACAGCAAGATGAGAGAAAGAAGGCTTAACTGTGTATAATAAAGAACTTGTTTTCACTTCTTCCTCATCAGAATCTAATTCACCAAATAATGATGTGATCCATGTTTTTGGATCACTGCAGTTTTCATTACATTTATGAGGTAAGCAACCCGTTGTTTCAGAACTGAAGGTTTCTTTTATTCTTTTGTCTTTTAAATAACCATCAGATAAAAGTCTGTTCTTATTACTTGATAAACCTAAAATGCAGTAAACAAACACAACCATTAGGAAAACATCTGTTATTACTACCCATAAAACCTGAAATGCAGTAAATAAACACAACCATTGGGTAAACATCTGTTCTTACTCTCCACAAAACCTGAAATGCAGTAAATAAACACAACCATCATGTAAACAACTGATGTTACTACTTGGAAAATTTAAAATGCAGTAAATAAACCAGGTCTTATGTAAAAGTTGCAACAAACATAGGTATATGCATGTAACAGAAACGTAACTGATTTAACCAACTGTTTTTTGTCGGTGAATATGAAGATGTAGAAATATGTTGAAGTAATACACCAAAGATGCTTTAAAGAAACAGTGATGAATGTAAATTCATTTCTTGGACTACACAGTGTAATGGTAAAACACTTCATAGGTGATGTTAAGTGCCTCTAAAAATACATGAGCAAAAAAATTCTAAACTGTTAAAAGCAAATATAAGACTTCACAGAGAACTCGGTAAAAAGTAACTGCCATAAAATTTTACTTATAAAGCATAAAAAATTCCTCAGGAATTTGTTTAAAATTTTAATCTGAGAACTTATGCATGAGTGAAAAGAAGAATACATAACAATATGTCAACCATACATCACTATATTTGCTATATCCAGTGCCGAAGAAGCCTTTTGCCTAATTCCAAGGCTCATCAGGCCAGCTGGGAAAAATTACACACAACAGTGATTGAGATATTTCTATTATCAAATTATATAAACAAAAAATTTTATGGTGTGAATTACATTAAGCTAACAAAAGGTAATTTGTATCAATCTTAAATGAATCACTTACAAATCAGAACTAGGGTACAGAATAACAATATTATTTATTTTAACACATTATTTTTACTTGAATTGACTTTACTTATCAATTGAATGAACTGATGACATGTTTGAACTGTGTGAACTTGGACCTTCTTGCATAATACACAAATGTCACCTTATAGGATTAAATGCAAGTGGGATTCATGAAAAAAAAATGACATCTACATAAATCTGCAAAGTCTGAATTACTCATTGTATTA